TTCTGAATGTCAGATCTGATTGTTTCAGTAGTCTAAAAGAAATTGGGTTATTAAGAAGTTCATCCCAATTTTCTGTTTTAATATACATAATTCGTATTTGCCAGAATAATGAATTTTGTATTTTTGTAAAATACGGACTGATACAAAAAATACATATTTCAGGAAAATACTGACTTCTCAAAACAAGGTTTCAAGTGTATAACAAGTATACGGATCACGGTAAATAAGATTCGGTCCAGTCCATCATTGTACTTGAAAATTACCATTTTTTAACCACATACATGTATTTACAAATTATATTGAATTCACAACACTTCGGTATATCTGTATAGTTTTCATAGTAGTCGGCTAGTGGATGCCGTTTACTCAGAGCGACCTTAAGCTTTTCACTGATGAAAAAGCATGACAACTACCGAAAACGGGATGGTAAAATCACGTTTACCGAAACAGTTTAGTCAATGACAAGCATTCTTGTGCCCCTTTTTAAGTGAGTATACATTTAAAAGAACGTTTATAGAGCAACAAACCATTCTTAATTTCATTTCTGGATTTTCGTTTAAAACCTACTTTGAGTCCAAAAATAAATGTAGCTGAACTGAAAGACAAATTTGACATAAAAATGACAAATTCTTTCTATATGTGCCGACGTAAATCGATAAGTTATATATCAGCATGATGAACAAACAATATCCTTCAAATAATGTTGATTTTAAGATAATTGTTAGCTTTAAGGGTTGTTGTACCTATTACAGTTACCATTGAAACGTAGCGACGTATTGTAATAAAACGGCATTTAGTGGGCAATTATCATCATTTTCATCATCATTGTTATTATTATTATAATTTTTATTATTACTAAACTTATTCATTTCATATCTCATGTTCACTGAATTTTGTTTCTTCCCAGTTATCACCACTTTTACATACATTTTCTTACTTTTAATATTAAGATATCTAAATCAAATATTTTAATGCACACATTTAAACACACATGTGAAGTAAAATAGTAAAGTTATAAGAATGAAATTGTTTGTTACCTTTTCTTAATATGGCAGTTTATACGCGGTGTCCTGTGAGCGTTACCTTTGCCTTGTTGATCTTTATTCTTGTTATTTTTTGCTTAACCCACTAATTATAGGGCGATGTGCGAGCATTGACCCAGGCTCCTGTTTATAAGCAAACTTTCCAGACACAGAATACATATCACACAGATGACATCTTCTTCTGTAAACTACAGCATTGATGTATTACTAAGTATTGTTATTTCGGAAATAATCTAAACACTGTGTATAACTTACATAGGTTATAGATGTAAAGCACGATCTTGTTTCAAGTCCATGATTATAAACGATTATTGAATTTTCTTCTTGGGTGTCTATTATGAAATATATGAGATAATATAACAGATAAAACATATAACTCTACAAGCATACATCTTTTTCCCAGAATCTTAAAAAAACACTTGTTAATACGTTTTATTTTCAGATGTTTTTGTTTATCACTTTCTATAAAAAATTAATTGCTACATTCTGAAATAAAAAACAGATACACATGAAAAGTGTAGCAAGCTTATGATCCTTATCCATCGTATTCCAGAGGTATTGTGACTTTGTTAATAATTCTGTAACGTGTTGATTACTATATAAGTTATGAAGCAGCAAATGACTATACACATTAATTTTGTTTAACCTGAGAAAAATACCAATTTATAGTAAATGTTACTTATCTATTTATATTTTAAGATATTCAGGATAATAGCCATATATATACAATAATTGTTTCAAACTACGTCTTGAACGATACATCTTATATCTGTTTTAAGTAATTTGTTAAACGCAGGTACACGAACATTATTATAACTAATAATACACTTTTCAAAAACTTATTCTTAGAAGAAGCATATTAAAATACGAACACGATATAACTAACATTTGGCGTTCACATGCATACATTTAACATATAGCTGGGTTAAATTTTCAAGGTAAAATTTGTGATGTCTGTAATGTATATAATGTCTATTTTTAAGAAACGGCATACAATATTTGTTTATTTGATCACCTGAGGAATGTTAATTTTAGTTATGCAGTTTACACAATAATGATTGATTGAATGACTAATTTTCTTAAATGACGACTTGTCAAAAGATGTTTATTAATTTCAGTTCAGGCATTCTCGTAGCTGAAATAAATCAAATAGAGAAATGCGAATAATGAAATTTAAGTCGTCATTATTAGTACACAATATGATGCACTTAAAATAATATCCAATATAATTGGCTTTTTCGTGCCGTGACGTATTGCACCACATCACTTTATTATCAATCGTTAAATCATGTTAAGATGTTTTTGTGTTTTCTTTCCAGTACGGTATTTTAATATTTCTGTTAATATTTTAGTACAAAATCGTATTTGCCGTCGTTTTGCTGTTACGGAAAATTTCTTTTTACCTTCATCACTACACGGCGAATAGAATAATGATGACCCCAACACGAGTGCCAGTTTATACCATTAGCGAAAGTAGAGTGATTCCCCGATAAGTACAATCTATTTAAATTGCTATGATGACCACCTTCATAACACCATGCTCCTTTGAATATTTGAGCGCAGTTGTACGGCCATACGTCGTTATCCCTATCTTTAGTCAAGAACACATTTCCATCATGTAAATTTAGACTATCACCGCAGAAAATACTGACTTCTCAAAACAATACAAGTATACGGATAACGGTAAATAAGATTCGATCCAGTTCATCATTGTACTTAAGTATGACCATTTTTTAACCACATAAATGTATTAACAAATTATATTGAATTCACAACACTTCGGTATATCGGTTAAGTTTCCTAGTAGTCGTCTAGTGGATGCCGTTTACTCAGAGCGACCTTAAGCTTTTCACTGATGAAAAAACATGACTACTACCGGAAAAGGGATGGTAAAATCATGTTTACCGAAATGTTTGAGTCAATGACAAGCATTCCTTCGCAATTTAAGCGAGTATACATTTAAAAGAACGTTTATAGAACAACATAAAATTCTTAATTTCATTTCAGGATTTTCGTTTAAAACATAATTTGAATCCAAAAATAAATGTAGCTGAAGTGAAAGACAAATTTGACACACAATAACAATTTCTTTCTATATGTGCCGACGTAAATCGATAAGTGATATATCAGCATGATGAACAATCAATATCCTTCAAATAATGTTAATTTTAAGAAAAATTGTTAGCTTTAAAGGTTGTTGTACCTATAACAGTTGCCAGGGAAACGTAGCGACGTACTGTAATAAAACGGCATTCAGTGGGCAATTATCATCATTATTATCATCATAATTTAAATTATTATTATTGCTATTATTATTTTTTTATTATTACTAAATTTATTCTTTTTCATATCTAATGTTCACTTAATTTTGTTTCTTCCCAGTTATCACCACTTTTACATACATTTTCTTACTTTAAATATTAAGATATCTAAATTAAATATTTTAAAGCACACATTTAAACACACATGTGAAGTAAAATAGTAAAGTTATAAGAATGAAATTGTTTGTTACCTTTTCTTAATGTGAAAGTTTACACTTTGCTTAACTCACTAATTATAGGGCGATGTGCGAGCATTGACCCAGGCTCCTGTTTATAAGCAAACTTTCCAGACACAGAATACATATCACACAGATGACATCTTCTTCTGTAAACTACAGCATTGATGTAAGTATTGTTATTTCGGAAATAATCTAAACACTGTGTATAACTCGCATCGGTTATAGATGTAAAGCACGATCTTGTTTCAAGTCCATGATTATAAACAATTATTGAATTCTCTTCTTGGGTGTCTTTTATGAAATATATGAGATAATATAACAGATAAAAACATATAACTCTACAAGCATACATCTTTTTCCCAGAAACTTAAAAACACTTGTTAATACGTCTTATTTTAAGATGTTTTTGTTTATCACTTTTTCTATTTGCTACATTCTGAAATAAAAAACAGATACACATGAAAAGTGTAGCAAGCTTATGATCCTAATCCATTCTATTCCAGAGGTACTGTTACTTTGTTAATAATTCTGTAACGTGTTGATTACTATATAAATTATGAAGCAGCAAATGACTATACACATTAATTTTGTTTAACCTGAGAAAAATACCAATTTATAGTAAATGTTACTTATCTATTTATATTTTAAGATATTCAGGATAATAGCCATATATATACAATATTTGTTTCAAACTACGTCTTGAACGATACATCTTATATCTGTTTTAAGTAATTTGTTAAACGCAGGTACACGAATATTATTATAACTAATAATATACTTTTCAAAAACTTATTCTTAGAAGAAGCATATTTAAATACGAACACGATATAACTAACATTGGGCGTTCACATGCATACATTTAACATATAGCTGGGTTAAATTTTCAAGGTGAAATTTGTGAAGTCTGTTATGTATATAATGTCTATTTTTAAGAAACGGCATACAATAGTTGTTTATTTGATCACCTGAGGAAGATTAATTTTAGTTCTGCAGTTTACACCATAATGATTGATTGAATGACGAATTTTCTTAATTGACGACTTGTCGAAAGATGTTTATTAATTTCAGTTCAGGCATTCTCGTAGCTGAAATAAATCAAATAGAGAAATGCGAATAATGAAATTTAAGTCGTCATTATTAGTACACAATATGATGCACTTAAAATAATATCCAATATAATTGGCTTTTTCGTGCCGTGACGTATTGCACCACATCACTTTATTATTCAATCGTTAAATCATGTTAAGAATGTTTTGTGTTTTTCTTTCCAGTACGGTATTTTAATATTTCTGTTAATATTTAGTACAAAATCGTATTTGCCGTCGTTTTGCTGTTACGGAAAATTTCTTTTTACCTTCATCACTACACGGCGAATAGAATAATGATGACCCCAACACGAGTGCCAGTTTATACCATTTAGCGAAAGTAGAGTGATTCCCCCGATAAGTACAATCCATTCAAATTGCTATGATGACAAAAAAAGCTTCATAACACCATGCTCCTTTCAATATTTGAGCGCAGTTGTACGGCCATCCGTCGTTATCCCTATCTTTAGTCGAGAACACATTTCCATCATGTAAACTTAGACTATCACCGCAGTTTCCGGAGTACCCATTTACATGCAATCTAAAATTTGAATCTTCGCCGTCAATTTTGAACGTGTCATACTGTGCATAGGCATGTATATGTGATACGTCTTCAAATGCGTCCATATCAATTCTCAAAGAACTGTTTACAGTAGTAAGCCGATATATATTCTCAAGACCAAGCCAGTACTCTCCTGATCTGTTACCGAATCCACAAACATAATCCGTCCATGTTCTGTAGAAGTTTTCTGACCCGTCCAGTCGACGTTGTATAACTGTCCATCCACCATTTTTCATATCGCACCATGTTTGTATGTTTAAAGCTATGAGGGGTTGTATTGTATATAAACCATCTTCCGTCGATCCTCTTTCAAAAAGTGAGAGACAGTCACTTTGTTCTAAAAATGAGAATGAAACATTAAAAATTAACAGGCTAAAAGCGTCTTCTTATGTATGTTTCAATTGGAGAGTAATAAGTATAAGCACGTACTTTCCTGACAGGTGATGATTCCCATTTAAGGCCTTATTCAGTTAAATTGCAATGTTACGTTTATGTTATTTTCCGTCATGTTGTGTACACAGAATGTCAAAGTTGACCACCATATCTGTTTTTAAAACATGACGTCATTGCGTAAACTTGACAACATTGACGGGCATAACAACGCTGCCGGCTAACATATTTTTCTTAACATTAACCTTATTTAACGTTAATCATTTTTTGATGATATAGAAATTATTTGACAATTTCAAGTTCCGTTTAACAACATTTTTCGACTTTAAAGTGGCGCACAAAATAATTCCTTAATGTAATTTTATTGTGTGTTCTATAAACGTCCTCTGGATAGTAAAATGGGTTTAAATGAAACTAAAATAGAGGCTCACTGTCTCGAACGTTTCGGTCCACTTGATTTTTATCCAAATCTCTTGCATAATTTTTGAAACGAAATTTGAATTATGCACATGCGATAAAGACATCGTCAATTTAGTTTAGCTGATCAGGAGCATTATTCCAAAACATAATTGTCCTAAAACATATTTAAGATAGAAAGATAACTTTCCGTTCCACGGCAAAGCGCTTAAAATATTTTCACGAGCATAGCACACCTGACAAAGAGATGTTTGATCACCTTACCTTGTGATATAAAGCAAGTTTACTCAAAGCAAACAAATTTTTCTTCTTGTTTTTTTTAAGCATGAAACATGATTTCATTAAGGGATTGGAAACGGACGTTAATTAAGAAAAATGACATCAAACGTTCCGACGACTACGCACACGCTGTGCAACAAAAAAATGACAGCTAAGCTTTAGCAATGCGGTGTAACTTTTAAATTACGCTGCGCTTACGAAAGAATAACAGTTTAGATCTTTGCAAACGCTATAATTAAATCTCAGTTCATCCCTTCATTTCAAGTGATTAATATGAGTTACGCAAACGCAATAATAAAATTTTAGATCTTCCTTACAATTTAACTGATCAATATGCGCTGTGCAAACGCAATAATTAAATCTTAGTGCATCCCTTTAATTCAACTGATCAATATGCGCTTCGCAATTGCAAGAATTAAATCCTAGATCTTCCTTTCAATTCAACTGACCACTATGCGCAACACAAAATGAAATAAAGGATTACAAATAAGATCAAGACTGCTATGCAACCTTATGATATTTTTGTACATTAAATGAATTAAGACAGGAATGAAGTCCATAAAATACATTGATGTGTCCTTTTCAAACTTACATAATCATAAATTAATAGTAGGCCACAAAACGTTCGGCAAATCTATATAACCAACACTATGAGCTGATGTACTGTAAGTGATATTGAATTAATTTCAACAATAACACATAACTTTTATGGTTGTAATAAACTGTTGCAGCAATTATGTAACGTTTTTGCAAAACAACAGCGCGAATTATTGACAAAATTGAAATTTTTGCTTCAAAGATTAAATCTTTTCATTCATCAACAGTCAATATAACTAACGTTTCCTTACTGGGCGTTAGATCAATGAAGTAGCACCTTTGGTTCTACAAGTCAATTACAATCTTTTATACATTTTGTCTCGTTTCAAAGCTCATATTTGTGTAAAATACTTTAATCAAATCAGTTTGTTACAACCTATGAAATCCGCACTAAATATCACTAATTAGATTAAAAATGAATTCACAATGTATTGGAAGCCGCGTTCCCGATTATTGGACAAGCAAAGCTGGTCTTTTCTTAAAAACAAAACCTATAGTGTTTACAGTTTTAAACATGACATATCTACTTTTTGTGAAGTCAGAACATGTCTATTAAATATTCACAAAGAGACTGTGAAGCAATTATCAATATTTCCCGATATCAAATTTGAACATGATATATCTATAAGTAATCGTAATGACATTGTAAGATGTATGTGTAAATAATTAAGTCGGGCGTGTTTCGGTATATAAACTCAAATTCAAACACTAACTATACGCAGTCGGTAGGCAATTATATTTAATTATATTTATAAAAACTTGATTGATATGCAATAATATATGCAAACTGTAAATAATAAACCAATTGAACACATCAACGATCATTTAATATTAATATTGAATTCATTTATTTCATCTTCCAATGGGCCAATAAGCCCATGAGGACAACATATTACAGACATTCTATACATGACATGACAGAGTTAGACATGGTAATAATGCATCTCTTTTTAATTATTTAAAATATGGGAGAAGGGCTATTACATATCGGACTTTTATTGAACATCATACATGAAGGGTACCTGGCAGGTGTGTTTCCCAATATTTTCATCTTCATGATTAAACAAATAGGAGTGTGAAAGTTTTTGGTGGAAGAGCGATGTGACATACAAACACACCTTCATTGAGTTCCTGATACGTTTCTATAATATATCAAATAACATAATAAACATTTGATATTCATGTGTCCCAAAACACCTTACATCAATAAAATTTTGTCGGGAGTTTTGGAACCACATTTTATGATGAATCAAGTAGTATTAACAACAAAATATGCTCACATTATAATCAGGGGATTTTTTTCATCCTAGATTTATAGTTTACTTCTACAAAATATATCATAAACAGGTTTTATGAATTTAAGTATTGGCTATTTTTTCTTAAGCTTATTATAAAAGAGTGGCATGATTCTCCTAAATTTCACATCATGCAAAAAATAATTATATTCACTTACTGTAAAGGCACTAGGTTGAAGCCAGCAGAAAAGAGGATGATTGATTTTCATTTCTAATCGAAAAAACTTAATGAAATTATAATTCTAAACGTTATAATGAGAAGCGGTCCAAAATACCCGACGGTTCACATATACCCTACAACGCTCTATAGTTATTTTTGACAAAATTTATAACTCAGTAAATTCTAGTGTTAAATAGATTGAGTACTTCCTCATGTCAAATAAAATGTTCACTAGGAATTTTAACACAGTGTAAAATGTTATGTGGGAGGAAGTATGTTTAACAAAAACTTAAATATCTCAAATATTAAACTATAAAGTAAAGGACTTTCACGTACATTTCATTTTAGAACTATCCCTTACATATTTTATATGGACAAGAACTGTATTTTACTTCTTATATTATATGGGCTAGAACTTTACATCTTATTATAGAAATTTTTCAGTTTTTATTGACCAATAAAGATTTTTCTGATGTTCAGGCCTAATGTTCAGATCAGGATAAGTTTGAAATTTAAAGAGTCTAATATTCTGAATAATTAATCCTTAAAGATTTAATATCTTATATTAATTTGACACAACTAGACTTGAAATAGCAAGGTTATGAACTTTTAGAATAAGGTTATTGTTTATTTTTTGCAAGATTCGGGCATTTAACAGTTAATCCAAACATTGGCGCTGATCCTAACATTGATCCGAATATTTCTGTTTTTGTTTTGTCATTTGTTTATTATATCTAAAAAAGGTTTTGTTTCCTTTGCAAACTAGCTATGTTTTACATTTTGAATAGTTACCTTTTAATTCTAGCAAACCACGATAGACTTTTTGAAACAATAAAAAAAATCAGAATTACTTGATCCTGATCCTGATCTTTTCTTAGTATATAGGGAATCGATTGGTACAGAGCCAGGATACCACACAAATGAGTGTTGTAAAACTTTATACAAATAACTAGACATTTCAAGTTATAATGTCACTTTTTGTTGTACATGCTACGGACACTGTCGAAAATCTGTCGAGATATCAAATCTTCTTTCCACTGACCATGATATCAGTATTCAATTAACATGACAATAAATGCTGGAAATCTTTTCAATCGGTTTAAAGCTTAACTTTTCCTTGTTATTCTGAATGTCAGATCTGATTGTTTCATTAGTCTAAAAGAAATTGGGCTATTAAGAAGTTCATCCCAATTTTCTGTTTTTATATACAGAATTCGTATTTGCCAAAATAATGAATTTCGTATTTTTGTAAAATACGAACTGATACAAAAAATACATATTTCAGGAAAATACTGACTTCTCAAAACAATGTTTAAAGCGTATTACAAGTATACGGATAACGGTAAATAAGATTCGGCCCAGTCCATCATTGTTCTTGAAAATGGCCATTTTTTAACCACATACATGTATTAACAAATTATATTGAATTCACAACACTTCGGTATATCTGTATAGTTTTCTTAGTAGTCGTCTAGCGGATGCCATTTACTCAGAGCGACCTTAAGCTTTTCACTGATGAAAAAGCATGACAACTACCGGAAAAGGGATGGTAAAACTACGTTTACCGAAACATTTGAGTCAATGACAAGCATTCTTGTGCCAATTTAAATGAGTGTACATTTAAAAGAACGTTTAAAGAACAACATAAAATTCTTAATTTCATTTCTGGATTTTCGTTTAAAACCTACTTTGAATCAAAAAATAAATGTAGCTGAAGCAAAAGACAAATTTGACAAAAAAATGACAATTTCTTTCGATATGTGCCGACGTAAATCGATGTTATATATAAGCATGATGAACAATCAATATCCTTCAAATAATGTTGATTTTAAGATAAATTGTTAGCATGAAGGGTTGTTGTACCTATAACAGTTGCCAGGGAAACGTAGCGACGTATTGTAATAAAACGGCATTCAGTGGGCAATTATCATCATTATCATCAACATCATCATCATCATCATTATTATTATAATTATTATTATTATTATTATTATTATTATTATTATTATTATTATTATTATTATTATTATTAAACTTATTCTTTTTTCATATGTAATTTTCACTTAATTTTGTTTCTTCCGAGGGATCACCAATTTTCCATACTTTTAATATTTAGATATCTTAATTTAATATTTTAATGCACTAATTATAAATACATGTGAAATAGGGTTATAAGAGTAAAATTGTTTGTTACCCTTTCTTAATGTAAAAGTTTACTCTTTGCTCAACTTACCAATTATAGGGCGATGTGCGAGCATTGACCCAGGCTTCTGTTTATAAGCAAACTTTCCAGCAACAGAATACATATCACACAGATGAAATCTTCTTCTGTAAACTACAGCATTGATGTAAGTATTGTTACTCCGGAAATAGCCTAAACATTGTGTATAACTCACATCGGTTATAGATGTAGAGCACGATCTTGTTTCAAGTTCATGATTATAAACAATTATTAAATTTTCTTCTTTGGCATGTATCATTAAATATTTGAAATAATGTAACAGATAAAAACATATAACTCTACAATCATACATTTTTCCAAACATCTCAAAAACACTTTTTAATTCGTCTAAATTTAAGATGTCACTAGTAATTTATTTCTCTTAAAAGATAAACAAGTTCATTCTGATATGACTAAAACATGAAAACTACATCGAATGATATGGGATTGAACGTGATTGTGTATTTCTATTACGTATTTATAAAATAAAAACTTAAAAGCAACAAAGGTCACTAATTTTCTTCAAAGCAGCTTATCACTAACACTTATTTAAGGTAAGTCTCGATTGAAGAATTTTGCTGGATCAGTAGTCAAATACATTGGTTAAGATGCGTGAAGGATAAATAACAAATGCTGCCGCTATGTATTTTTAAACACTTTGTTATCAATACAACACAATTCATTATTAATAGAGACACGATATATCTTAACGTTTTTTGCTGTACGCATGGGCAAACACATGAACGTCCATCCAATAAACAAAAATTATAGAGTACTACTAGATTTATTTTATTTTGCAACTTTATAAAACGCAGTACTTCATTGAAAGTTCGAAAAGAAATTCATTGCTGGTTGTACCTTTTCCGTAAACAATATAGTATAGTAAATTATATTCTATGATAGTAAAATATGAATAAACATGTTGTATTATACAGAAATATGTATATAATTTAATATTCATTATTTAGCTCGAAAGCTGTTAATATCCAATTTCAATTAAAATGATACACATTCTGGATTAGAAGAGTCTTCATTAGATCATTAGAGTAATGAAGTTAGCGATATAAATAGTATACGACGTCGTATGAACTAGGAACAATTTTGCGAGATTGTTGAGGATGTAACTTAAAATATCTCTAGTTGAAGATTATATAACAAAGCTCATATCTCCCTGTCACGATTTTTGCCCACATACCCCATCTTTTACTCTTCAGGCCGCTCTTTAACTCCTGATGCCTCCTCTTTTTTTCCTTCTGCATTTTTCTGTCACTCCTAATGTCTCTGAAAATGTTATTATCAATGGGGACGACCCTGAGTGAGAGTAAATACAAACCCTGAACAATCTCGCTTAATTGTTCCTAGTTTATGTTTGATATAGTTAAAAAAATGTTCATTGAATGCCAAGCTGCTCTTCGCATCACACACTTGTATTAATAATATGCACTTGTATGCCATACTCTTAAATGATGTAATGAGGGTCAGTGACTGTGTGGATATCGAAGAGTGAAGAAATGTGTTACAAACATGGATATATTTGATAACAAAGACATTACGCGGAAGAAGAAGAGGCGGGTTTCAAAGGATTCAGTGGTCCCAGTCTGAAATTTATATCAGGATGCATCAATCGATAGAGCGGACAAGTGATATAGCTAAATACGTGAAGGTAAACCTATGTATCAATCATCGGTCATAATACACTGTATATTTCGACATAAACATTATCGCATTCTTATTTCTTTTATACCTTATGGATTCATTGTCATTTCGAATACCGTTGTGTTGTGTATAGATATTCCTGGGTCAATTTCACTGGTCTGCGGCTGTTTTTGACATCCTCGAAGACTTTCAGGAATTTTGATTAAATGGATATAAAAGCTAATTTGGGGTTTAGTAACCCACAGTAGTTCTTTTCATGATCTGTGTCGGATTCAGGTACACTCGCAAATTTTCAGGAAAGTCGAATGAAATAATGACAGTTGACATCTAGGGACTTACAAAATAGATAAATACAGAATCCCTAAAGAAAGCCCAACACAGCAAAATTGAAAATGTTGCAGGCTCGGTTTGATTGAGCCTGTTCATGGACGGTACTGGAAAGGCAGCACACCACACTAAATGAAGCCACAGCTTCGAATGGCCAGGGAGGATTTCATGGATATAGTGACTATTGTGGATTTAAATGACTGGTTGTCTTTAAAATGCATTTTCAGCATGAAATTTGTTTTTGTAACATGTAATATGATCATTGGCAAATTCGAAAACATGGTTAGAAATAACATGCTGTTTATTATAGATGTCAAGGCCGCCATTGTTTGTAAACATTGCTTTTAAACAGCATGCTCGGTGAAAACAAGTGATTTTACAGGGGGGTACAAACTTTCAGCAATAGCAAAAAATCTACAAGGCCAAGCACCTATTTCTTTGTGATAGTTTGCATGCATAGGGAGTTGCTAAAGCAGTGACAGAGTTTCTGTAGTCCGTATATTTGCAGGTATTTTTTGCCGGAGGGACGAAAAATGTTGTTTTGGGTCACGGACCACTATAGATTTTTGGCTTTTACGGAATGAATTGGAATTTTTTTAACTGCCTGACTGTTGCACATGGGATGATTTCATTACAGATTTGCAATGTTATGACATATATGTTCGTAACAAAATGTGTTTTCTTTTTCCAGGTTGTGTAGTTTGGGATCAGATTTATTAGACATATTGCTTGTAGGACATTGACGGCAGAAACTTGAAATTTAGTGTGGAGTGCTACCAAAGTGCAAGTTACCGTCCACGCCCTCCAGCCCCGGCTTAAGCAGAATTCAACATTAAATTATGCAATAGTAAAATTTTGAATTTAGAATCATCCGCAGATGTGTTCATACGGCAGTTGTCATGGAACCTTCAATGTGACACTTCCGTGCCATTCCATGAAAAGTGGCGTATGGTCCCCAAGTAATAAAAAGCTGTGCCCTAAACGAGAAAACAATGGGCAGAACTAAATAAAATTGAATTTTGAAAGGGGATCAGAGGTTTTGAAGCCTGCGTATCACAGATAAGACGTCAAAAGACAAATTTAAAAAGCAGGCAACATATCCTAATGGTGATTCAACATTATCCAAGTAGGAATATCGGAACCACCCAACTAGAAAATGCCGAAAAGTTGAAACTAAAAAAAAAAACACACAAGCACAACAATAATGTCGTGCTGAACGATCTTCAAGGATCGAAAATATAACATCATTGATTAAATGTACGGGGAGACTTTTAAAGTTCGCTTAACAGCATGAACGATATTTGGATCCATTATCACATTATTTTATAAGGGGGCTCAACATCATGTTAAATATATGGATATAATTAATATCACATTACTTTGTAAGGGCTCTTAACGTCTACAATTCAGTATTGATATCCCTAGGTCCTTTAACTTTCTAATGCAAAACTTGAACTTATGATTTTACAGAGAAAATGTTTAATTTGCCAAAGTCGTTTACCGGTTAGTTTTATCTCTTTGACATGAAATAACCACTCGACACCCATTGGGATGTTACATGGATTGTTCTATGTATTTTGATATTCCATTCCTTTATTCATTGAATTTTCATTTCCTGAAAGCTTTTGTTATTATATTCACACAATTTAAGATATCGAAAGTGACTTTATAAAAAGACTGCTATAGTTTTTTTTATAAGTTTCTGCGTTCGAATTTAAACAAGTGCATGTTGTACTATTAACTATTGAAGACTATTTTTTAGTCTTGGGTTAAAGCTAGGAAATGTGTCTGTTAAAACGTATTGAGTACAGATGTAAAGCACTCGTTTGTCAGCATGCACTTAATCCTCTCTCCTTTAGATGATGTTCCATTTTGCAGATTTCCTCTTACATAAAGTAGTTCTATGAATACTACATATGCTGCACGTTTCCTGTAGGTCTACTGATAAATTATTAAAATCTTTTGTAATGAACGATACAATGTTTTATGTTATACAGTGTTATGCAATGCCAATTAGCTTCATTGGGTCCATTTAATTATTGATGAAGTTGTCCCATCGGAGGATATGTCAGTTGGTTGGGGTTTTGTGTTAAAATAAAACATGTCATCTTAAATGAATGGTTTTGAACTTTATGAATATGAAACAAACATATTCGCAAATGGTATGTTTTTTACGTTTATGAAAACAATTCTAGCGGTACAATTTATTCTGTTAGCACCATGTAGTTCTGTTTGAAGTCATTGTAAATCAATGGAACATAAATTCTCATTTGTCAGCTGAAATCATGTAAATTTTATGAACTCATAAACAGGATACAGAATTTTGATAATTTACATATTCACGGAAATCAATCATTTTCAAACAATGGCACAAACAGATACAAATACATAACTATTTCAAAGTAATTACTTCACATTACTTACTATCCACCGCAAAGAAGAAAGAAAACAGCAAATTTAGAAAATCCAAGATTAAGTGGAAAGCCACAAAAAAGCAGTGAAAATGGTTCATGCTCGGTTTGATTGGTTGGGTTCATAGACTGTAGAAGTATGTCCTACATGCACAAGCTATTGTATACGCTGTGTCCCCTCATCGTCACGATCAGCAGTGACTGTTTAATAAAAACGAAAATGTTGAAATGTTGCATTAGAAGTATCTAGAGATAAGTAATGTTTTGAAATATTGTTTAAATGAATTAATCAATATGCAATATGGTTAACAATTTTAGCTTTTTCTGTAGTTTACATCTCAATATCAACAATTTTTGCATTATGATAGATCTAGTTTTTTAGCCAGAGATGTTATTACTTTACAATGCGATAATAGTATTACGTATTCTGCAATGTCTTTAAAAACTGAAGGGAGGTTATCGGTACATAATATTATCTAGAAATTATTTGTAGTTCATGTTCTTTGTTCATTTGTCACTAACAACTCAAAAATGAAAAGAAAAGAAATTGTTTCATTTTAATGTATTCAGGGCATATGCAAAACGCCTGTTTTCCATATGCAACAAACAGTCAAAATTTCAGAAATTTGAATTTCTGTTTAAGACAGAGTAAAATATCTCAGATTTTGACAGTATATTGTAAATTATCCGTTAAGTGTGTTAAAAGCTATTTGCATATATTTAATGTAGGAAAAGAGTAAATGTTTCATAAAATGCTGGTAATTATGATAATAAAAAAATGCAAAACCAGCTCAGCTTCAAATATCATGACAAAGTTATGCACTTTTAGTTGTTGATATTGTAAAATGAAAACAGCAAAACGGTTTAACAGATAATAAATAGCTTTGTACAGCGTCCACCGGATATAGCCCCTAAAAAAACGAAAAAAAAGTAGAAAGCATCACGTCGAGTACACCCCAGGTAATGTTTTAACATAACTTCATCATTTTTACCAAACTAAACAATTTTGTAAAGCTTAGTGTTTCAGGTTTTAGAGCAATATAAGCTTTTGTCTGCAAATTGAATACTTTGTGTTAACTTGGCGATAAAATGTAGCGTATTTGTTGACATTTGCGAACGATGTTGATATTTACCACTAAATCAAGCCCAAAACGCATTTGCTGTATCTAATAAGAGTTTTTACTTTTTGAAAAAAAAAGGTTAAAACATTACCTTGGGTGTACTCGGTATGTAGCTTTCTACATTTGTTTTCGGTGTTTTAAGGGACTATATCCGGTGGACGCTGTACAACAGTGTTTATATTGTAAATAACGTATTACATTGTTTAATACACTACCGGAAAGCAGTTGTAAATGGTAACGGCTTAATATTCGTTTACAAGCGTTAAATGATTGATATTAACTATGAAAATATTTAAACATGTTACCTGAACCATATTGATTTGTTATTCTGCGCAATAATCTTCTCATTGAGCCTGGCAGATACGAAAAAGATATAAAAAATCAAAACAAAATAAAGTGTACCCTATGTGTTTAACAGGGTAAAATAACAGGGAAAATAGGAGACGCGTTAAAGCTGCAGGGATAAACATGAACAAAACATTTCGATAAAATCAAAACTGAGAAAAAGATTTAAGGAAAAGTATAAAGATTGAAAATTCTAGTAAATTACATGCTATGTGCGATAAATAAGCATTTTTATTTAACTTTCATCAAAGGATTTCAGTATCAGTCGAAATAATTTAGCAAGTTCTTGAAAGGATGGTGTACTGTTCCAATTAAATGTACGAAATTAAATCACACACATGTTACAAGATTTTGATTTAGATCATCATATTTAATGTACGTTCTATTTTATTAAAAAAA